GCAAAATACTTAACTGAACGTTTTGCATAAAATGCATATTTTGCAATTTTGTAAATTTACAGATGGCAATCTCAATCTTTTTACTTCACTTTTTAATAACTTTTTAATAACTCTTTAACGAACAACGATTGACTGCTAAAACTGTCCGATAGTTAATATTCAGTTAAGTATTTTGCATAAAGTTCCGCAGTCTAATAATTAGTGTTACGCTTTATGTATTACATATACTAGTATTATGTATGCAAATAATTACAAGATTTGCATACCGGAAAAAATTAATTATAAAAATAAGATATATTGAATAAATTTTAAACAAACATAAAAAATATACATTCATTAATATGTACAATAAATTAGAGGAAGGTCACCGACACCGACATACCACTTTGTTTTTAGACAATATTTCTAAACAAAAAGTAAAAATACAACTTCAAAAACATAAATACAAAGTAAATAGTGTCTTCTATCAGATAGTATAAGCAATTTTTTTATAATACTGTTTGCAATTTTGCAATAATTAAGTTTTTCGTAAGTTATGCAAAAATGAGCGTCTGACAAAATGGGCTCCAAAACTGACATAGTAGGTAATAATAGCAACATTCCTATTCCGTAAATATATCCTATTCTGTAAAGAAAACTAATTTATGAAACTATAAACATTTAAAATGACATAATATTATCAATAATACAGTCACTGTTATTTTAATTACACAATTTGCAAAAGAACACCGTAAGAATTTTCTTCTCGGATTTATAAAATTGGTTTTTAGCTGATTTGGTATAGAAATAAGCCACAAATATATGAATTATGAATTTGTACTTCTTTAATTAGCTAAACAGATTATGATTTTATTAGTATTAATAAAGTGCAATAGTTAGTTTCTGAGAAATAAGGGGTGTCACTTTAGGAGACCTATGTCAGTATCGGCGACTTTCCTCTACAAATATAAATAAATTTAATTTTTAGATAGTTCCAGATTGAGTGTCTTATAAATCATAAAAATTTTATAAGAAATGACGGATATATTATTTATAGAATATATTATTTATATGTTAAATGTAATATATTTAAAATAATCAGATAAAGTAAGAAATTTGGGAACGTAGCTCTAGAAAACCTTTGTTAATTTTATAAAAATGTGAAAATTTTTAATTTTAAGTACAAATATACTAGTTCAGTCACAAAGAACAGACCTTTATAGCGGCATCTATGAGATTTTAATACGTAAAACTTAAGTTTTAAATCTTAAGTCGTAAAAAATTATCCAGTCACAGTCAAATTTGAGAAGAATAATCGAGTATGATTGGTCAATTTTCTTACGATATATAGAAATCATTATATGCTGCTTAATGTGTATCGAAAATACAGAACCGTAATTGTCATAAATATATAGGATTACGAAATGAACTTGCCTTTAAATCCGTGACGAACTGAATAACAAATATCATTAAATTCAATGCATATTTGCGAGTTTTGCGACTTGTCGAGTTTCAATAGTTTTTTCGATTCCTGCATATGGATCTTACAGTCATCGTTCAATATCCTTATTGCGTCATTTTTATCGTTTGCTTTCAGCATTTTGTCGAACACTGTAAAATTAGCAGTCCACCTATAATTAATTGAAGAGCCGGCGTTTACACTGTATACGTGAGGACGTAAATGATATATATGTGATGATTGTTGAATGCTTCAATTGTACATAGCTAATAGCAGCATTACACTTTGATTTTATGCATTAATTGATTTCGCGCTGCTAGAAGCGTAAAAAGTTGCCTTTTACGAGCGACTCTTGTGTTTGCGAAATGTATCGCACAAGTTCTCAGTTACAACTATTGATGTCGGATGTTTATTACAATCACATTTGTTGAGTAGTCAGCTTTTGAATGAAAAAAAACCGGTCTTTATACTTAATAATTGCGTGAATGATATAATCTTGATCTCGCAAGTAATATTAATTCGCTTCTTATAATTAATACATTGAATGTAGTATGCAATTATATATACATATACATATATGCATATACTGCCGCTCAAAAGTCTCGGAAAATTTTATAGTATATAGTAATTTTTTTTATTTAATGTTCTAATGCTGGATATGATGATATAGTAGTGATGTAAAGTTACACAAAATATATTATCAAACAAGATGTTATTAGGAATAATAAAAGCAGAAAAAAATTTCCACACATGAATCATTTATTGCATAATTATTGTTTAAATAAATAAGCTTAATTTTAACTCTAATAAAAATAAAATAATATTATATATAAAAATAATACTAACGCAGTAAAATCTAGTATACATGATTATATTATGTACATGTATGTATAAGTATACATACAAGTATTGTATGTACATGTCAGACGACAATTGTTTGCGCACTGCAATATTCTTTTTTTGTGTAGCAACAATTCGTATTTTCTTACATTATTAATTATTCTTACGGACTATGAATACCGGCCAAAGAGGGATACATTCGAGAATTAGTGAACAATTTTCAAATATCTAACGAATAAATAATGTTTGAATCTTCAATTTTGAAATTAAAAAACATTTTGTAAAAAAAGTTTTTGCGCAAGAAGTTCGACACACACACGCACCATTGCGAAAACTTATTATATTAATTTCTTAAAAAATATATTATAGCTTAGAAAGTATAAGATATTTTTTATTAATTTTGCCCGGAAATGTTCTTTACTTGATGTCATAGCCATATAGCTCGTCTGAACAAATTAATTAATTAGTCTGAATAAACAGTCTAACGAAGAATTTCAGAGTATTTATTTCAAAGGCAATCCCTGCGTTCAAACCTGTCGATAGCTACAAAATAAAACAAGAATGTCTTTAAAAAATACCAATTTTTTTATTTGACATAATTTAAGAACATAATATCATAGAAAAGAAATTAAGAAATACATTTGCTCTATCTCTTTTCTTTGAAATGTATTTTTGAAAATTTTTTATATTTTCTTTTCATTAAGGTACTTGACTTTTTGTTTTTATTGTTTAAAAACATTTCAATTCTTGCGTTTTTTTTAGTTTAAAATAGTATAATAACTTCTTCGTTAGAAATAAATGAAGTTAAAGTTTAAAAAAAGATTTTAAAGCTCAAATCTCTACTTTCGTAAGGTTACTACTTTTTTGAGTTTCTGTGAATTTGATAATTTTTACATTTATAAAACTACGAACTAAAAAAACAGGAAAATTTTTTCTCACTTTATGATTGTGTTATATATCCCAAAAAATGGCGAAAGGTTTTGTCTATTTATCGTGAAAGCTTGAAATTGCCCTTCCAAAATCATTTTTTTTTATGTTCCTAAGACGATTCTTGAGTTATTCGCGAGTTAAGTAAAAAGAAAGAGTTATCATTTGTATTGTTTATAACTCTGTTAAAAATCTCCGTACCACAATCGAAGAAACAAATTCTTAAAGCTAAAACTTAAATTTGTTCTATCGAATGGTATAATTGTAAATTTTATTTAAAAAGTAGGATATATAATATATAAATTTGAACTAAAAAAATATAACATTACACTTTCCTTGTGTAACCATTGCGGAATGCTTAGAAAGAAGGGGGGGGACAATAGTGTCACATTTTTAACTCAAATTTATATCTTAAACAATAGAAGAAAATACGGGCAATTAAGAGCCTAAACTCGCAGTAATTGGAGCGATTATATAAACATATATTTCTCAGTACTATATACATATAAAAAATACCGCGGTATTTTTGATGTATATGTAGTACTGAGAAATATGTTTATATAATCACTCCAATTACTGCGAGTTTAGGCTCTTAATTGCCCGTATTTTCTTCTATTGTTTAAGTTTTCTCTCAAGAGCCCGATTTTTATTTTTATTTTCAAACTTATATATTCTACATTTAAAAAATTAGCAATTACATTATTCGACAGAAGAAAGTTTTAGCTTTAAAAATCTGTTTCTTTAATTACGATACGCTGATTTTTAATAGAGTTATAAACAATTAAATTATAATGCTCCTTTTTACTTAACTCGCGCGTATCTCTAGAACAAAAAATCATAAGAACATTTTTAAAAAACGATTATATAGGGAAAACTTCAAACTTTCATGATAGGTAGTCGAAAATTTTGCAACAAATATATTCTATGTGTAATTGTGAGCTAAAAAAATGCAATAACTTTGTAAACAACCCAATCTAAATAATCAGGTTCAATATACCTAATCAATAAAAATCTTATAATAACGCTATGATTATATCTAACCGTCTTTGATTCCTTGCCTTATAATATTGAAACTCGTAGTACAAATTACCAAACATGATGAATATGAGTTGCAGATTCATTGATCACATTATTTCGTTTTATCCAAATTCTCTTTATTTACAAATGGCAAGCAAAAATTTCAACATATCATTTCTTACTAATGGCTGCGGCAATTAGTCAGCAGCTTCTAGGCAGTCTTAAAAAATAAAAACAGACTACAAATAACAGCTATACTATCCGTACGTCATCGCTTGGATATTATGTAAGATTGATAAAGTGATAAAATTATTTAGTTTGAAGGATATCACGCAAGCAACTGTGCATTCATCATGTATATAAAGAAGAATTATTCTACACAATATGGCGGTTTTTAATGATATACGTGTACGAATATTATTAAAGATTCTGAAAACAATTCGAAAAGTTCGAGTGAATGTAGATACGTAAAAATGATAAATATTCGATCGAGCAATATTTCCAAACAACTTTGATGCTTAGATTGCACAGGAAAAGTACTTGTGGTCAAACGAGAACATCGCTACGTTTTTTCTGAATGTATCAAAATCATTATTGAACTTTATTACAGCCTCTTTTCGCCAAGATTGCGGTAACCCAATTAGCAGACCACATTGATTAAATGTTTTTTAAATATTTTTTCTTCATTGATTTTACATTTGTAGGTTATCATTGCAAAAAAAACATTTATTAAACATTTAAAAAATATTTAATTTATATTTAAAATATTTAATTTACATTTAAAATTCATGTGTCAATTAAACGTTTCTAAAATATTTATTTTAGATTTATCTCACATTTATTAGTCATTTGTAACATATATGTAACAAATATTTTTTTCACGTTCATTTAATTTTTATTTTATATTTAATTCACATTTATTTTACATTTATTTCACATCTATTATAGTCTTTTGTAACATGCATGCACACGTAACTTAAATATATTCTTTTCACGTTCCTTTAATATTTATTTTAGATTTAATTCACATTTATTTTACATTTATCACTAATACACACTTTTCTCATATATGTCGTACACGAATAGTAACAAGACGCCGATACGTAATAAATACACGACAATTTTTTTTCAAGTTTATTATATTTTCATATTTACGTATTACATGTTTTATTTCTATAAATGAAAATAAAAATAATATATGTTCGTTTATGTACGAAAAAAATTATTAACATTACACATAATACAAAAATTGATTAAGTATCTCCGATTAACATTGCTTTTTCAGATTTTATACTCAATCGGTTTCGAAAGTACGATGGAAGGTTCGACTTGAATAATCGTCATAATTTTCAAATTTTTTTGTGAATTTTGGGTAAAAAGCGAGTGTAAAAATAATGAAACCTTTTTTTAATTTCTTTAAGACACGAGCAATCTTTTGAGGTCCTACTCGATAGCAAAAAGTAAATACAAATATTGGACTAGGATCTACGTAACGTAACCTTTTATAAGCGTGCAAGTTTTTAAACAACTTTAATATAAAATACAGCGGAATGTACATATCTTCGACTTGTGATCCGCAAAGCACAAGTTTAAATTTTGAGATAATTCATAACATACTTCATAACATTACTTCATAATATGAATTTTTAATATTATATGAATGATTTCTTAAAATGATTTTTTTACATTAAACACATGTTTTTTGGTGACATAGCGCTATACCATCTGGAGACACCGGGTAGTGTCTCGGCGCTAAGCTGCGCGAAGCGACGCTGCCGTGCCTCCTTTACGTGAACCGACGAGTTGCGGCAGATCGAGATTGTCGGATCTCAATAAAGGCTGAACCGATCGCGTTCTATATATGCTCAATCGATAGTCACCACACGGATTGTATGATAAAAGTGCTTTTATTTTTTTTCTACGTGCCCTACGAGCGGAGATATCGCGACGCAAAGTTGCGAACTGCTTTTTCTGTCCATTTTTCAGATATGTCGTCCTTATTGTCATCATTATTGTCGTCGTCGACCACATTCCGCGCATTCCTTTGGTGTCCGTCTGACATTCTTTACGCAAGGAGCGCTAGTTTCGTGCCCTTCTTCTTCTTCTAATATTTAAGTGGCCCAGGTTCCGGCGATAGTAAAGACCGGATAAACATCGCCAAGTTTCGTGTCCTTCTGACATTCTTTACGCAATTAGGACGCAATACGCAAGAAGCGCTAGTAGCGATATACATATGATCAGCGAGTGCTGCGATCTGGGGACACGACTAATTATTACTATTATTAGGGTACGTTTCCATGAGCGCGTCACGTGTCGCGTCGTCCAATGTGTCACTTCTTCTTCTTATTTAGTTAATGGCTCCCGCCTCCGAATAACAAAAGGAGGTCGATACGGCCAGATCACGTCGAAAAAATATCTTACGAACTAAAGTGTATAACGTATTGGGGTGATGCAATGCCCGCGAGTATGTCGCCGCCCGAACGCACATCAGGCGCCTGCGTCTACGACGTCGTCACGCCGAAATAACGCGCGTCGGAACGAACGAACGAGAGACGAGCCATCCGCGGAGGAATCAAATGCACAGTCAGAGTCGG